TTTCATTTATTGTTTTAAAATTTTTTGAAGGCTTTCAATATTTAAAAACTAAAAATTCTTAAAGAAAAAAATTAGCTGGACGCAGAGGCTCAAGTGTGTAATCTCAGCACTTTGGGAGGTTGAGGCGAGAGGATTGCCTGAGGCCAGGTTCAAGACCAGCCTGGGCAACTTGGCAAGACCCGGTCTCTACAATAAATCAAAAAATTAGCCGGGCGTGGTAACACGTGCTTGCAGTTCCAGCTGCCTGAAAGACTGAGGTGGAAGGATCGCCTGAGCTAAGCAGGCAATGAAGAATGTGGTGGCCATTAGCGTGCCACTGTACTCCATCAGCCTGTGTGACAGAGTGAGACTCCAACTCAAAAAAAAAGGAAAAAGAAAAAATCAAAAGGATTAAAAACCTGATTCACATCTGTATGGCCTCTTGTAATACAAAGTTGGCAGTGCATTGCAGTGAAGACATGATCTTATCAATCAGTGATGCTAACTCACTTGAATAGCCTTAATGGGGAAAAAAATGAATCTGGACACCACATCATTCCCTTGCACAAATTTTCAGATGAGTTGAAATTATAAATGTAAAAGACAAAAACATTGCAATTTTTAGGTGTGATGAACAAGTTTTCGATCATGGTTTCATACATGTATATGCATCTTAAATCATGCTGAATTATTCACATGAAATATATATTTTGATTATACCTTTATAAAACTGTTAAATTGTTAAAAGATTTTAGAGGAAAACAGTATAATATCTTTATAAGGATTGGCAAGTTTTTATAAACACTACATGTAAAGCACCATCCACAAAGCAAATCACTGAAGAACTAGATTTGTTTAAAATTAAAATCTTCTATTTATCAAATAAGAGAAAGAAAAGAACCATTTCAAAGTCAGAAAAAATACAGAGGGTGCCAAAAAAGTATGCATTTTAAGAAAGGAAAAATAACTGCATTAAAATTGTAATACTTAATTTATACTGATTACAAAAGATGAGTACAAGTCACATTTGACTTCTACAGTGCTAAAATTGGTTACCATCAGTGTCCAGATACTTTGATTATGGCAAACATCTCTTAACATCTCCTAAAAAGTGTATACATTTTTTTGGCACCCCAGGTGTTCACAATGTATAGATCAAACAAAATAAACTGTACTCAAGGATGTAAGTAACAACTATACTTCAGTAAGAAAAAAGCATATGACCCAGCATAAATAAAAACAAAGAAGCATGTGCTTTATAAAAGAGTATATTAAAGGCCAGTAAATATTAGGAAACATGCTCAGAACAATCAAATGCTCATTAGCAGTAGACTGGAAAAAAGGCTGTGATATATTTATGCAATAAAATGTTTACAAAAAATGAAACACAGCTACGTGCCATATTACAGATGAATTGCACAAGCTAAAGATTGAGACAAAAAGAAGTTGGACAAAGAATTCAAATTCTGTATGATTTTACTTATATACAGAATCTACACAGTGGGACAATTAAGATAGTGGTAGCCTTAGAGGTGGCAGTGACCTGGAAAGGTCATGAAAGGGATCTGGTAATGTTCATTTATTGATCTGGAAGGCCTGAATCTGACATGAATGTGTTTACTGTGGGAAATGTATTGAGCTACACGTTTGTATTTATTTGTAAAAATAAGTGTGTGTCTCTGAAGATATATATATATATATATATAATATGTGTATATATATATATATATATACACACACAAATATATAGAAAAAAGCCTGTAAAAATACTGTTCTGTAATGTTACATAACAATTTGAAGTTTTGAATCTTTATGTTTATGTCTTTAATTAATGCATAACCTATTTTGTTTACTTTCTTAACATGTTTAAACTCAATCAGTTATTCAATTTAACCAAAGTGTTTATTAATAGGATATTCTTTCTCATTGGTTTGGAATAATTTTATCATAAATTAAGTTGGTTTTTTTTTTTCCTGAGTTTTTTTTTCTCACTCCATCACCCAGTCTGGAGTGCAGTGGCATGCTCACAGTCACTCCAGCATTGACCTGCTGGGCTCAAGCAATCCTTCCGCCTCAGCCTTCCGGGTAGCCGGAACTACAGGTGCTCTCTACTATGCCCGGTTAATTTTTTGACTTTTATTGTAGAGATGAGGTCTCGCCAAGTTGCCTAGGCTGTTCTCGAACCCGAGGGTTCAGGCAATCCCCTCACCTAAGCCTCCCAAAGAGCTGGGATTACAGGTTTGAGCCACTACACCCACCATAAATTAAGTTCTTAAACAGCCGGGCTCGGTGGCTCAACCTGTAATCCCAGCGCTTGGGGAAGCCGAGGTGAGTGAATTGCCTGAGCCGGCGGGATCAAGACCCGCCCGGGTCACTTGGCGAGACCTCATCTCTACAATAAATCAAAAATTAGTCGGGCGTGGTAGCGCGCGCCTGTAGTTCTAGCTACTTGGAAGGCTGAGACGGAAGGATCGCCCGAGCCCAGCAGGTCGAGGCTGCGGGTGGCCGGGAGCGGCCACTGCACTCCAGTCTAGGCAACAGAGTGAGACTCCAACAACAACAAAAAAGTTCTTAAACAAAGATTTGTTACTAGAATTCCTATGCTATATCACATATGTACTTGTGTATTTCTGAACCTATTCCATATTGTTTTATCATTAATTTTTCGCAAGCTTTGATACCACATAAAATAGTACTTCTTTATTATTCTTAAAAAGACATGTTTCCTTAATTTAGAGCATTTACGCTTCCAGATTAATATTTAGATGGTTGTAAATTTATATTAACAATCTCAATTTCAATGAAAATTTTTTAAATTTAAAATTAAAACTTTAAATTTGTGCATTTAAACGGGAATCTTCCCATCTAGAAACATAGTATGTATTTTCATTTTTTAGGGTTTTTTGTTCATTTCTATTTTTATTTGTATATTAGCCTTTATATTTCTTGTTAGGCATATTCCTGGCTCATTATTAGTTTTGGGGGGTTTTTTTACCCTATGTATTTTTATTATATTTTGAATAAGTTATATCTTATGTGGAAACCTGATGACTAATGTTTAACCTGAATGCAGTCACTCACTGAATAATTATTACTGCTAAAAGTTGACTATCTTTTCTGTATAGTGTCCATACTTCACATAATTTTCTTTAATTTTTGTACTTGCTAATCTTCTGAGCAACATTAAATAATAGTTCCTGTACTGAAGAGTTTCTCCTTTTCTTAACTTTCACAGGACTTTTATAATAGTTTACTGTCTCTTGTGGTGTTTTCTTCTGGTGAATTCTTTTATATTATGGTTTCCTACATAGTTATAAAGGTGATATGTTATTTCAGAGTTTATTTAACGTCTAATGTTTAAAAAAATCTTTCCATAAAAATACAGGTTTAATGACTATTCAAAAGTCTTTACCTCTTTTCCTCTGTTCTGATAGGAAGCAGTTTGCACTGCTAATTCCTCACATAGGAAAGGCAAGAGCTGGATACCCACAGTCCATGTTGCAGATTCATAGATTAGGCAATTTCCACTGTCTATGATTGTTGTGAAATATAAGGGGAATTAAGAATGTCCATTATGGAAATCCTCTAATACTACAGTCTGCCTTGCTGCAGTGGTACGGTCAGCTCATTGAAGATGGGTAAATGGCAGAATGATGTCAACGCAATGTGAAAATTACGTTGGTGTTGACAACATTTTCCTAGGCAAATGGAGATGATGTGTTGGAATGATATATAACCTGTAGCAGGAAAAGAAAAATGACTCGGCTCGTCTCCTGAACAGAATAGGAACTCTCTCAGATGCCTATTAAGAAAAGTCACTGCACATACATGTACCTGCTGGGGCTGGCCCCGTCTTGCACAGCCAGAGGTCCACGTCCAGCTGCACCTCCTTCTATGGCTGCTTTTGTGCAGCCCTATGGATGCAGAGCGTGGCTGCTGCCTGGTACAGCCCAGAGCCCAGTCTTCGCACTCTGTTGGTTCGTGCACTTCTCATCCTTCCTGAGTTAGCCTGCAGCCTTTCTGTGCCATCCAGCTGCACTTTGTAGTTTCTCTTCCAAAGTACCATTTATTTTGGGGGTTAGTACTTTGGCAACAATAGTAAAAGATTTTGATTGGTCTGTCGCTAAGCACAATTGTCCATAAACTCTGTTATTTTAGGTGCATCATTTTTAAAAAGTCAAGGTGTTTAATAAGTGCATATATTGTGTTTGAAAAGTAATGCCTATTTTCTACAAAAATCACTGAAAATAAAAATAACATATTTATATTTTCCTGGGAACAATGAACAATATTATAGTGGGTATGTTCATGGTTAAAGACAAATGCCCCAAGATGTTTTTTTCTTTTTTTGGAAATGGTCAATCACAAGTAACATAGTTATCTTTTGTTGTAATTGTGCATAATGTCAAGTTGAGTAGTAGAGTAACACACAATATTCAAGGATACTGTTCGTCTTTGAGAGTCCCAAGAGCAGATTCATGCAGGGCAAGAGGAATGACTGTTATCACAAACAGTCACTGAGGATCTCCTGAGAGCTGGTGGTCTCAGAGGGATTACTCCTAGGGGAAGGCTCTGTTGAGATTCAGGCAGAGCTAAGTCAAACTATGCAGACCTAGAGGAAGTCTGACACTTGAAACTAGGTTAGAGAAAAGTCGGGTCTGACACTCTAGGATTTGTGTGCTGACTATATTGCCTCAGTTGCTAGGCTCAATAAATGTCATATGTAAAAAATATTTGTAGAAAACTAGGTTTTATAAATTTGATTGTTTGGAAATAAAGTTGAAGGACAGTTGATAATTTTCTGTTCTTTATTCTAAGCAGTTGTTTCACTCAGTAGAGGAAATTTGATAAGTGAACTTCAAGTGTTAAAAAGCAATGATATTTTTAGTAGGTACAACTTCTCCAAGAGAAATTACACTAGTCATATACCACTCCATAAAACACACCTACCACCCAAGCTATTTAGATATGTCCCCTCTGTGCATTCCCTTGTGGCCATTTCATAATGAAGTTCTACCTACCATCACAGCTAGGCAACGCATGGTTCCACTGGTGGTTTCTCTCACAGACAAGGGGCTCATCATCACTTAATGTGTAACCTGGATCACAACTGAACGTCACCGTAGACCTGATGCCAAAATTACTGCCATGGCGATGACCATTCACAGGGATGCCTGGGTCAAGGCAAGAGTCTGACTCCAGGGTCACACCTAGATGCACAGAAAAAAATACATTATATGAGGACTTTTCCAGTTTACTAAAAAGAAAAAAAAAGGATACGCCATATACTATAAGGTATTCTCAGACATAAATAGACCTGGAAAATTATGCAAGTGAACTCAATAATCCATTAATGTAATAACCAACACATCTTCAATTACTTGACTCTGTTTTTCAAGTTAGAGAAATTCATACTATTACACTGTTTACAAGATGGTATCTAAGTAACATGACCTTGAATAATTCATTGATCTCTGAATTTTACTTTTCTTCTTGGAAAATCAATGAACTACACTATATGACTACATATTTTATATATAGTTTTTATAATCACTATATGATTATATATTTTATCTATCTATCTATCTATCTATCTATCTAGTTCCAGTTAGATTTTGGAACTATAGTTCCAGTTATATTTTGGCAGTTATATTTTAACTTTCATATACATGCATATATACCCTCAAGCACATATCCATAAAATATAATTTAAAACTACACTAGAGTTGGTTTTTCTATGGTTGAAACAATTTTCAAATTTGCACTTAAGTCAGCCACTTTCTAGATGGCTACAATTGGCCTATGCTAAAATATGTGAAAAAAGGGCTATATAAAATTAAGTAATTATAATCATATTTTATGAGAATCCCTTTTTTTCTGTTGTTCACATTTCTCTTACATTCTAGAACAAAGCATATTTTAAAATATATGGAAAAATTAAAATCAGGGAAGAGAAAGGCAATTGACAGATTTAATGCAATATCCCTTAAACTACCAATATCATTCTTTTCAGACCTAGAAATGACAATACAGAACTTCATATGGAGACTTAAATGACCACAAATTGCCAAAATAATCCTCAGCAAAAGAAACAAAGTGAGAGGTATCACACTTCCAGACTTTAAACTTTAATATAAGGCTACAATAATCAAAACAGCCTGGTATTGGTACATGAACAGGCAAAAAGACCAATGGAACAGTGTAGGAGTTCCAGAATAAAAACCTTAATTTCTTAATCAACTCATCTTTGATAAAGCCTCCACCAAAAACCACTGGGAAGAGGAGAACTTTTTCAGTAAATGGTGCTGAAAAAACTGGCTGGCCACAAGCAGAAGATTAAAACAAGATCCTTACCGACACCATACACAAATATCAACTCTAAATGGATCAAAGACCTAAACATAAAACCTCAAACTATAAGAACCTTAGAAAATGCGGTAGACACCATTATGGAAATGGGAACTGGTAACCAATTCCTGAACAAAACCGCAAATGCTCATGCCATAAGAGATAAGATAAACAAGTGAGACCTCATAAAAATGAAAAGTTTCTGCAAAGCAAAAGAAATTGTCAAAAGAGCTGGACGACAGCCCACAGACTGGAAAAAATATTTGCTAACTATATATCTGACAAAGGTCTAACATCTAGAATATACAAGGAACTCAAACATGCAGAAAAGAAAAAAACCTAACAGCCTATTAAAGTGTAGCCAAAACATATGAATAAACGCTTCTCAAAAGAAGACATATGAACAGCCAACAGATACATGAAAAAATGTTCAGTCTCACTAGTTATTAAAGAAATGCAATTTAAAACCACACCGAGATACCACCCAATCCGGTCGGGATGGCCATCATCAATAACAAAAAAAACAGATGCTGTAGAGGTTGCGGGGGTAAAAAGGAACACTTCTACACTGTGGTGGGAGTGTAAATTAGTTCAATCTCTGTGGAAAACAGTGTGGCAATTCCTAAAAGATCTAAAAATTGACTTTCCATATGACCCAGGATTCCGCCTTCTAGAAATATATTCAAAAGGACTCAAATCATTTTACAAAAAAGATACCTGTGCACGCATGTTTATTGCCACACTATTCACAATAGCAAAAACATGGAACCAACTGTGCTGCCCATCAAAAGTAGACTGGATAAACATAATGTGGTACATATACACAATGGAATATTATGCAGCCATAGAGAAAGACAAAACTATGAACTTCACAACAACTTGGATGAATTTAAAGTCTATAATACTCAGTGATCTATCACAGAAACAAAGAACTGAGTACCACATGTTCTCACTCATAAGCGGACCCTGAACAATGATCATAATACTGCAAGAAAGGAATTGGCAGTAATGAGACACTGCCAGGGGAGGGAAGGGGTGAGCATACTTCATCAATAAGGGTACCTGATCTTAAACCAGGTGAAGTGGGGACCAAAGTCAGACTCAAACTTTCCCTGTACAATGACCATTTGTGTTCCTAACCCTGAATTTTACACACATCTTTAAAAGGAAGGAAAGGAGGGAGGGAGGGAAGAAGGGAAGGAAGGAAGGAAGGAAGGAAGGGAGGAAATAAAGAAAGAGAATATCATTGTAATGTTTGCACATGTAAATAAAAAATTTAACACTACTTGTTGCTATATATCCCTGACTCAGTAAGTCTTGAAACATTAGAATTATAATTTGAACTCTTAATCAAATATCTTAAAATATTTCCAACATACACACTGTTTAATCTCCAAAAGTAACCTTGGGCAAATTGCTTCTGGTCATTACATATATTTTTTCAAAACTTAATTATGCAACTTATGAATATGCCTCCTTTCATTAAGTCAAATACATGAAATACAAATTAGAGGATGATTTTTAAATTTAAAAAAAATGTGCTAATATTTCCTTTATTAACATAGTAAAATATGATCCAGTAGGCACAGGGACACAGGCAGGACTTTTTATCTACTGTTAAAAAATGTCTAATAAGGAATATGGTCTTCTCACAGAGATCTAGCTCCTGGATGTAAATGTTTGGAATTCTCCTAGTGTTAGGAGTGCTTTTGTTATTCGCAATGGGCTCCTCGGGCAACAGGATTTCAGTCCAACCTGCAGGGACAGGATAGCTGATGATGGAGTTTAATCATATGGCAATAATCCAATTGATCGTGCCTATGCAATGAAACTCCAGTGAAACCTCTGGGATTCTCTCAGGTGGGAAGTTGGTTGTGCACTTGGCTGCCCCCATGTCAGGGAGTGAATAGTATCATACATGACACCACAGGTGAAGGATTCAGGGAGTTCTGAGTTATGACTTCTCCCACGTTCTGCTCTGTGTCTCTCCCTTGGCTAGCTTTAATTTATATCATTTCCCTATCATAAATATGGCTGTTGTTAACATAGCTTTTAGTGAGTTCTTTGAGTCCTTCTAGCAAGTTATCAAATCCAAGTATGGTTTGGAGCACTCCCCAAACTTTCAGTTGTTTTCAGAATTGGCAGAATATACAAACCTTGTACTTTGTAAGACTGTGCCCTTAACCTCACGGTTAACACCAGATAAAAAGATATAATGACTGTCGTAATGAAGTTTTCTAAAGGGTGAGGACACAATAAAATAAAAGAAAGAAAAGTGAAAAAAAAGAGCATTATTTTTCCCAAGAATTTTTTTCTTCAACAATCATTCTAACTCATTTCCTAAAAACTAACACATGTCTATTACTGGAAACAACAGAATGTAACTGTCATGGCTTTTGTGCCTTTTGACAACCACTGAATCCACTTCTTCCATCCCTGTGTGATTCTGCCAGAGGCAACATGAGCACCTTTTGGCCCCAAATGTCCTGATCCTGTTCCCCACCTCTCTCTCTCTCCCTCTCCCTCTGTCTCTCTCTGTCTGTCTGTCTCTCTCTCTCTCTCTCACACACACACACATACACACACACACACAAACACACACTTGCTTCTGAGGCAGTGATTATAACTTCTTTCATTATCCCACAGAGAGTAGGCATCACATGCTCTGTGAGCCCTGCACACGCAAGTACCTAATGCCAGCTGAGTGGCTTTGTAGCATTAAGATCAAGATAAGAATTCTCTCAAAAGAAGAAGCTCTGCAGAAGAAATAAGATCACCTCCAGGTTTCTTTAATAACAGTAGCAAATATCTGTCGGGGGGTGGGAAAACACTTCTTATCTACAGGGTGCCTGAATGAAACGTCATTGTACACCTAACCCTTAACTGTACCCCACAAAACCATAATAAAAAATACTGATTAATGAAAAAAAAAAAACCAACAGTTAACTAAATCATTCAATTTCTTCAAAAGGTTTTCTATGATCACTAAAAAACAATATACATACCACATTGCAGCAATAAAAATAATAGGATTTTTTTTCCATCTCACTCTGCCACCCAGGCTGGAGAGCAGTGGCACAATCATGGCTCATCACAGCCTTAACCTGCTGGGCTCAGGCAATGCTTCTGCCTCACCCATCCAAGTAGCTGGTACTGCAGGTGCACACCACCATGCCCAGCTAATTGTTGTTTTTAATTTATTATAAAAAAGATTAAATAAATTTATTGTAGAGAAGAGGTCTTCCATGTTACCCAGCTGGTCTTAAACTTCTGGGCTCAGGCAATCCTCTTGTCTTGGCTTCCCACGTTGCTAGGATTATAGGTGTTAGCCTCCATGCCTGGCCTAGGAAGTATTACTTAAGATGATGTGAGAACAATGTAGTAATGAGTAGTTTTCATAACGAAATTTATAAACTGTGATGAACACTTTTCACTAAAATTTATAGTGCAAGGAGAGAAAAACAGGAAGTCAAAGCATAGAACTTTAAATGTAGAATTATTTATATGTAAAACAGAATAAACTATTAATGTCAGAACTGTGGTTAGTACTGACATTACCCCATAATTTATTTTTTTATTTTTATTTTTTCGAGTTGGAGTCTCACTCTGTCACCCAGATTGGAGTGCAGTGGCCGCTCCCAGCCACTGCAGCCTCGACCTGCTGCAGGGCTCCAGCGATCAGCCTTCCAAGTAGCTGGAACTACAGGCACGCGTTATCACGCCCAGCTAATTTTTTATTTATGGTAGAGATGAGGTCTCGCCAAGTTGCCCAGGTGGGTCTCGAGCCCACGGGCTCAGGCAATCCACTCACCTCAGCCTCCCAAAGAGAGGGATTACAGGCTGAGCCACCCGTACAATTTAT